GCTTTCATCACTTGAGCGCAAGGCTGCCCTCCTGCAAGAGGGCTTTGAAGAAGATGACTACTTCCTGGGAGGATGCCGCATTGAGGTCACCATCACAGCACCAACGCTAAATGCAGCTGTCAAGCAGCTTGCGCGCACTCCTCTGCTTGCACTTGAAGAGTGGCTGCAGCCGCTGAGCGAGGAGCTGGAAGACTTGCAAATTCAGGTGATTGAAGTCACACCTGACTCTTTCTTTGCGCAGTGGGCATTCATGAAGGCTCAACAGGTGCAGCTGAGGCTGTTCAAAAGGGATCACAATGCGCAGGCAACACCACTTGAGAAGTGTGTGCTTGTCGATTTTCAAAACTGTCTAGGATGGAATGCAGGGTACCGTGCATCTACACGGCACACAGACTCTAATGCATGGTGGCTCAGTGCTGTGCATATGAGCGCACTTGCTGCAGCAGCACCAGTGCGTGCAGCAGAAGATGCGCAGTGGCAGGACATCACCCTTGGCCACATAACAGAGATACCACTGCTGCGTGAACTCTTCAGCATCTTGCAGCCGCACATGATGTGCCGCTACTGCCAGCTGGATGACAGCCGCTACATCCGCAACTGGGATGCCAAACAGCAGCGCATCAAGTGCAACAAGAAGGGACGCGGTGGTACATGTCAAGGTCCGCAACTGTATCTCAACAAAGAGCAGGCATTCCTCGCATCTTGGGTGAACAAGCTGCAGATCTGCCTCGACAACAAGTTCTTAGCTGGCGCACCAGCATCAGCTGTCCCTGCCAAGCGCACACGCTCTGAGTGCTGGGTGGAAGTGCCTGTGACGCGCCGCAAGACTTCTGCGCTGCGCACCGCTAATGCACCATCTGCCACACGCATCACAGCTGAAGCTGAGCCTAACCCACTGCATGCAAGCCCAACCGCTCAATCAGCATTGCTGGGAAATTGTTTGCGCATATCAGACTTCATTAAAGGTGACGGCAACTGCCAGTTCCGTGCATGGGCGCACCTGCACTACAGCAACCAGTCACGCTTTTGGAATGCACGTCAGGTTGCTGCAGCATGGCTCAAGACGCACGCGCACATTGTGCGTGAGTTCTATGCGCCAGAGGATCCCACTGTGCTTGACCAACACAGTCCCCTGGACCTCACCACTCGGCGCTCGTACGCAAACATGTGCGCTGAAGTTGCAAAAGCTGGAACATGGGGCAATGAGTACTCACTGTTTGCGCTTGTGAATCACTTCAAGTGTGCAGTGCGGGTGTTCATCAAGATGCAAGATGGTGCGCTCATTACGCATGATGTCACTGTGTGGCAGGCAGAAGAGCAAGAGC